CAGGATGTCCATAGATATACTAGAAGCAGGCCACACCCCTAGGGAAACTCCCTTTCAGCGGATTGGCTGCTCAAAACATAATCATCTGATCCCATCATGGGAATAACCACATCACAACAGCTTAAACCACACAGAATTGTGGTCCAGCCAAGTTGACACACAGCTCCAACTATCACAGGCTTCCTCGACTAGAATCTTCATACACTGCTGGTGGGACTGTAAAATGGTGCAATCACTGGGGAAGACGACATGGCGCTTCCTTAAAAAGCTGGAAATGGAAATATCATATGATCCAGCAAGCCACTGCTAGGTACGTATCCTAGAGAAGTAAAAGCCATGACATGAACAAATAGAAGCACACCCGTGCTCCTCACAGCACTGTTCACAATAGCCGAATGACAGCAACAGCCTAAATGCCCGTCACTGGAGGAATGGATCAAAAAACTAGGATAAACCAAAGAATGGGCAAAAAAAGCCTCATAATGGAATACTACACATTGAAACACGAGGAATCTGAACCATCATAACATGGATGAACTTAGAGGCCTTTATGCTGAGTGAGGTTAGCCAGTCACAAAAAGACAGATGTTATATGAGACCACTATTGTAAAAAGTCAAAAAGGGTTTCACCAAAAAATATATTCTTTGTTGGTTGCCAGAGGTGGGTGGGGTAAACTACTACCTAGAGGGTAGACACATACTAACTTAGGTGAAGGGAAAACAGAGTGGGGAGTAAACATGAGGGGGGGAGGTGTTCCCAGGGATGAGGTGGGGTCTGTATTGCTGTCCCAGGGGTGAGGTGGGTCTGTATTGCTGTTCCCAGGGGTGAGGTGGAGTTTTGTACTGGTGTCTCAGGGATGAGGTGGGTCTGTTTTGGTTTTCAGAATTAGAAACAGGTGGTTAACCAGACTGCAAGTCTACCCATTTTGCACAGCACAGGAAGAGCTGTCAGGAATAGGCTGTAATTGTCTGCGCTGGAAGTGATGCATTTGACTGTTAAATGAGAACAGGAGCCAACACTAACCTCAGCAGACACCCCTGAAGAAAAATCAATCTCACTGGGATATGGAGGGGAAGGCTGGATGCGGGGGCCACTGGTGGGTTGTCCAGGGGGCGGTGACCAGCAGGTGGTTGGAGACAGGTTGCTGCTGCCATAATAGGTACAGCCATAAGATTGGAGCAAAGTGCTGAGGGAGAGATAGGTAGAGAGAGAAAGACAGCTGCAGTCAGAAGGCTGAGAAAGGACACAAAGACTAAGGAAGCCATTGGGTGTGGCAAACAGATCACTGGTGATTTCTAAGATGAACTTTCAAAAGAGCTGTGGGGGCAGAAACCACAAAGTGCAGGAACTTGGAGATGGAGCTGGCGATGTACTGCTTCTTCAATAAGTTCACCAAGAAAGGGAAAGTGAGAGGGTGATGATTTGAAGGTGTTGGGAAGTCTGTAGGTAGGGGGGAGCTAGAGGGGAGGGAGAAATGGAAGGCATGAAAACACACTGCTCTGGAGTCCATTCCGAC